CAGTAAGTCCTGACCAACGCCGAACGGGGGAGCCGCCATTGGACGAAATCATCTCGCGGAAGTTTGTTACCTGAAACACGATACGCAGACCGCATCATGTGGGCTCGGTATGGCACCGGCGCGATACACCAACGTCNCGAAACCCCGCCGTGCCACTGCCTAAACCCTGCACCAACGCCATTGTTGCTGCAGCCAATATCCGCTTCACCCGAAAACATGCTCGAAACCCAAGCTGGGGGTCGAAGGCAGTAAGTCCTGACCAACGCCGAACGGGGGAGCCGCCATTGGACGAAATCATCTCGCGGAAGTTTGTTACCTGAAACACGATACGCAGACCGCATCATGTGGGCTCGGTATGGCACCGGCGCGATACACCAACGTCATCACTAGGCGACGAACAAAATATAGGCGACATCAACACTCGCACATGTCTACACAAGAAGAAAAATGAACAGCGATAAAATGGCCAAACACACCTGATGAAACTCGGTCAGAACCATGCTTCGCCCTCAGATTTTGCATCGTCCTGAGCATTGACCCCACCGACACCGCCCCACCCAGGGTCGGACTCATCAGAGTCTAAGTCGCTGTCAGCCGACTCTTCCGCTTCCAGCTCCAGAAAATCGTCCGAGTCACTGTCCGAACGGCCGGTGTCGTGATCGTCCGAACCGGGATCGTCCGGGTCTTCCTCTTCCTCGTCCGTTCTAGCGTTCCGGGACGCCAGAAGAGCCGTCATGGCGCTGGCAACGACTGCGGAGTGTGCAGCACCGGCAGGACCGGAGTACGTGGCCTGGCCGGTCGGTGCACCGGGTACAGGCTTGCGAGCCAAATGGCAACGGCCCCTGCAGCCGCAAGCGAGGGAGCACTCGCGCCCTTTGCGNGCGAGGGAGCACTTGCGCCCTTTGCACCCGCACCCCCTACAGTTATGCTTTAAGGCCTTCACCGGGTTGCAACCGCACGTCATCGTGACCAGCTTCCCATCGGGACCGATGTAAGAATGCTCCGACATCCACATAACGCAATTCTCTCCTGTGAGTGCTGACGCGTTGCTGCCCTTCGCCTTGGGGTTGATACCCCAACCCTTTCCGTTGAAGTCTCGTTCTGGCATGTGGTCTTTGAATCCATCTTGCCAGTACCCGTCGACAGACTTCATCCTCAGGCATTGCTCGCGCGTCGACCTATAAGTCGGGCACGTGTCTGTCGTCCTGTTCTTGCCAAGCTTGACGATGGCCACTCGGATGAGGTCCACGTAGTCGACCATGGCCGCTGTCAAGTGTCGACCAGAAAAAATCGCATTCACCGTGCACTTGCAAATCATGTACAAACGCCGTGCGAAGCCTCGCCTATCCTG